GTTTCAGGAAAAAAGCGAAGAAAAGCTAAATTTCGGTCGTTTTTTCAGGACCTGCTAAGGATTTACGAGCTTCTCTCCTGAAATTCCTCAAACTCTGGGAGCACAGTTTTATGCTATTTACCTGCATTAATGCCGAAAAGCTGCAGTCCAGCGTATAAGCACGCTCGATAGTGTGCATCCACGAGCTCACGGCCGTACGCTTTGTCGGCGCCCACACCACAGTAATATCTACCTTGCGGCGCCGGGAAGCCATTTTTCGGCCATCCCAGCGGGTGTCCATCTCTGCATATTGATACGGTTATTAACACAAACCTCTTGAAACCTACGATGCAAGCATTCGAGAGCATAGTTCAGTATAATACAGGATTTTGAGAGCATAATCCTCAGGAATGCACCAAGCTACAGTTGTACCATGTGCTGTCTTTCTAAATCTAGCAAAAGCAGCCTATTGGGCAATTACAGAATGAGCCGATGCGCTCGAAACTTGTTATTTTTACTGAAGTTTACTGACTTACAGACGACAAGTTACTAGAGAGTGATCTGGGATTGGCAACAAGGTTTAAGGTGAGATGGTGACGCACAGACACACACCGTTCAGTCACCAATTTGCTAAAGTTTTGGCGAAGTAGCTCTACCGGAAGAGTTACAGAGCCGGTGATCCTTCCAAGAAACGAGATGTACAACGGGATAGTCGGAAAACTGATCGCCAGGCGATGGGTATTGATTAATCGGTGAAAATATGAAATGAAGAAAAAAATGGCATAGTTGTCGACTTCACCACTGCTAAATCAGTGGTGAATAACTAGTAGTCGTTTCAACTACCAGATTTGCTAATTCACAGAAACGATTACAAACGACATGATTTTGAAACAGAGCGCTTTTTAAATGCGACAATCCCTTTTTGGCACAGAAATTCAGAACTGAGGCATGTCCTCATCGTTGGAAGCTCAGCAGCACTCAAATTCACTCATAAAGAAAAGAATAAGGAAGGCTTTTGCTTTGAAGGATCTAGCACAGTTGTAATAATAACTTTATTAAGTGTAGTCCATTCAGCTTAAAAGAGAAGACTGACGAAGCAGATTACTTGATGCACTCAAGCAATGTTGAAAGAATACGAAGAAAGCAGCTACCGCAATAGAAAAACCGCTATGTGGAGTTATATGGATGAGAGAGCCCGAAATAAAGAAGAATGGAGAAGTTGCCAGCGCATCAGTGGCGAAGAGTGCGACGATGAAAAACCGGCACTTGATTAAAG